GGCCACACCTCGTACTCGCTGGCCACGCCCACCGCAGACACCTCACAAAGCAAATCTTCTTGTCGATCAAAGTGCTTTTGTATACAGTTTTGTTTATAAAATGTTGTATTACAAAAGATTTAGTTAGATTAGTTAATAAGACGCGACACCTGCATTTGAAATAACAATGAAATAAAGAGTAGTAATGATAATAAAGAGATACCGGATAGTTGTAGACGCCGAGCGAGGTGTGTATGTAGAGGTGCGCGGCGACGTGGCCCGCGCGCCGGCCCAGGTACACCACGCTGAAGGTGGTGTTGGTGCGCGGCGCCAGCGTCTGCAACCGCACACGTTACACCACTCGCGACACACAATAATCATGGGTACAGTGCAGATAACACTTGTCTCAATTGGTCAAAACATTTACAATAGCAAAAAAATTAAACAATAATGCAAGGTAAATTAAAAGTGAGGAAATCGAGACATAGAGGGCGACAGGTGGCTGACGATGACGTAGATCGCAGGCCGACGCGACGCAGGAAAAGTTCGAGCTTGACTAGCGCCTCTCGACGTCAAAATGCGAACTTTCCCCGCGCCCCGTAAGCCCAAACTTCTATTCTCTTCTATCTTGGCTGCCTTATACATGGTGAATGCACTGTACTTGATACTGGACCACTTCATGACTGTGTTTTGACAATTCAAGACCTGATTAGAATGTCTGAGGAGTGGAGGTCCTTAAATCATGCAGTAAATGTTTCCAAAGGATTTACTAACCTTAGACTCGAAGAAGGAGGCGTGGAAATCAGGTGTAGTGCCGGCGACGGAGGCGAGGTGCAGTGTGGTGTTGCCAGTGTTGGTGAGCGTGACGGAGCGCGCGTGCGGCGCCGCCAGCGCGGACGGCCCGAAGTGCAGCGCGGCCGGCCGCAGCGCCACGCCCGCCGGCGCCGCGCCCTCCTCCTCGCCCACGCCCTCCCCGCCCCATTCCTGCGCACGACTCCCATCTACACTTCCACACACACCAGTGCAAACTATATACTGCTCATGTAACAGCTACCTACAAATTACTATAAATATTTGAGTAAATTGCTTTTGGATCCACGAAACAGGCTTGAATGAACAAGTAATGTTGAATCTTATGAAGTTTGCTAGTGACTAAAGATTTGTGTTATGGAAAAAATTTTGGTCTCCTTTACTAAACATTATCTATTTGTGTGACATACAGTGTGACATGATGTCCCATACAGTACAGTACACAAGCTCACAACATACTTCAGTTCCCTACAGCCTAGTTCCAGTCATCCGCACATATATTGAACTTGTCATCTTACAAGTTTTGTTGATAACTTACTTGAAAGTTTATTCCTTCTACAAGAGAATCATGTAATGTGATATCTGAAAATAAATAAATAAATGTTAAGTGAAAAGTATAAATACTCAATTTTGAACACATTCAATGTGTCAACACTATAGTTTGTCTAATTAAGATTGATTCAATTTGTATGAGGGCAAATGCCGTACTTAATAGACAGGTATCATAGTGACGAGACAAACATGCATAGCGAACAATTATGAACTATCGATATTTTATTTAAACATTTATCCAACTCAACTAAAATTGTTATTTTCTTATTAACTAATTTAGAGAACAATTCTAGTATTAATTATAGTGTAGAGAATTTAGCGATGACAGAAATAATAGTGAAATCCAATTCAATTATGTACGGCTGTAGTAGTAATAAACATTTATTTACTCTCATTATTTGTAATGGTTCTGCAGGTCATTATTAATTTGAGAAAATTGTGTTTTTTTTAAATACATAAGTTATAACTATGAATCTATCGATTCCAACTAAAAATCGAAAATTGACAAGATTGATGGCTGACTTTACTTTTACACAAACCATCCCTACTAAATTTGAAGTGAATTGTTAAACTAATCTAAATTATTTAGACACACTATAAACATAATCTTATTTCATTGTCAGGGATATAGTTATATCTTTTGTTTGTGTATGGGAATCTGTCTAAGATATGTGAATAAAAACAACATAAGAAATCTGTCTACCTACTTAAAGATATATTTCTTTAAGTTCATTAAATGAAAAGACAACTTCTGTGAGGTAGTTTTACATTTACTAATTATCGAATGTTCAATCCACAAACAAGACCTAGGTGATCTTCAATTTGCAGACGACAAGCGAGTGCGTGCAGCCGCCTCATTAAATGTGTACCTATAATTAAACTAAAAACAAATCCTGTGGCCCCGGGATGCGACAAATAGACTGTAAGCATCTCCTAGTAATTTTACTCCATGTGACAGTACTGTACCATGGTTATGATATAATCTACCAAATCGGATTCATCTTCACAATACGCTGCATAAAATGTATTATACTGAAATTGATTTTACCATGACTCTTCCCCAGGGCTGTCAACTTTGTATGCGGTGAAATATCCACTAACGTCAATGCAAGAACATAACACCATAACATTCCTCGACACATTATCACGAATTTTCGTAGTTCACCAATGTTGCGTTCACATTTCTTTCTTGAAATAGTTTATCTTTGATGACTTGTTTTCCCACTTTCAACTCATGAGATTTAATTTGCTTTCAAGAATCAAGTTAAATACCAACAAGAGACGAAACGAAATGACGAAAACCAAAGAGAAGATCGGATAACTGTCTGTCAAGAGTCACAAACAAATAGACAACAAACTATGAACAGATTAAAATAAATAGGGAGGTATGGTCGTTTGTATCTGTGGAATGTACCATTATGCCTGGTTCACATTTAACCAGTACAGTGTACAGTAAAATTAATGCGGACGGGTAAAAAGTTTCATTCACATGGACATGGACATATTATGCGACGAAATGATGGGGACATAAACCAGAAAGTGTTGAGATTGAATGTGGATGGCTACAAAGGAAGAGGAAGACCGAAGAAAGTATGGATGGATTGTGTGAAGGAAGATATGCTTAAGAAAGGAGTGGATTCAGATATGACGGCTGATAGAGATGTATGGAAGAGCAGCACATACTGTGCCGACCCTCCATAAGGGATAAGGGCAAGTGGATGATGATGATGATGATGGGTAAAAACTTTCATTGGCAGCATTGAATGTCAAAGTCAAGTTGCGATCATATGTCAAATCAAATGAACAATATAGTCATTTTCTGCAGGGTTTTTGTGTTTTAAGATAATATTTTTTTATATTTGTTTCAGTTATTAGGTTTTCATATTTTAATATCAACAGTATTTGCCAATATGGATGAATATCGTACGTAAAATAATCACAAAATGTTTTCATTTGGAATAATCTGTTTGTATGTATCGTAATCAATTGTTGTTGATGTTTATTTGAAATAGTAAGCGACAGCGAGGGCGATCGGGAGAGCGAGGAGGAGTTGAGTGAGGTGGAGCAGGCGAATGCCATCGTTGTGGAGACGGTGAGCGACAGCAGCAGTGAGGAGGACGAAGGCAGCCAGGTGATGGTGCGGCGACAGCCTACTGTAGTAGAGAAACACTTCGACAAATCTCTGGCTGCGACTCACTCGGTTTGTTTTTATTTATAATAATAATAATTTATGTATACTAATATTGTTAATAGAAATGGTTTGTTTTGTAAGATTTTTGTATGTATTGAAATTACTCAAAAACGACTGAGCTAATTTCAAATTCCTGCACCATTAAAAAGCTACGTTAAGACTCAGTAATGTAGGCTATGTTTTTAATATTTTTTAACTGCATACGGATGAAGATGTGATGAACTGTTAGTTAAATATATAACACCACAGTACACACGGTACACACAGTACACACAGTATACTCTGTGAGAGACAAGTTTATTAGTATTGATGATTTTATTTCGATTTAAATTAATATGTTGTTTTATTAAATAGTTAAATAAAATTCCCCTAAACATCTATACATACTTTGTAGTAATAAGACATATTCATAAAAGGTTAAGGTCAAATTTAGTCTCCATTACTATTAGCTACTAGTTATTGCCTGCAAGTTTAACTGCATGAGAATGAAAAAATTAGTCAAATGACCTATGTGTCCATCCAGACTATGTTTACATATGTGTTAAATGTCATTAAAATCCATTTAGACATACATATGTTAAAAAATCCAGTGTGAGATAGTTGTGCCATGTGGTGTTGCAGTACATGGGCAGGGAACTGATTCCGCTGAGCGGGCACGCGCCGCTGGAGGCGGGCTGGCGCGGCCGGCTGCCCGTGGCGGCGCATACGGGCGCCGTCTTCCCCGGAGAGACCGTGCCCATGCTGCTGCCGGACCCCGACGACGCTACCATCCTCAGTACCACCATTCAAAATGACAAACTATTTGGCCTGCTGTGTCCCGAGTATGTTTTGCCTATGAGTGTAGTGGAGGATGAGAGATGCAATCGGTGCAAGGGCGGTGGCGTTGTCCGCAGCGCGACGGGCGCGCTGGTGTCGGGCTACGGCGTG